GTTTTGTCAGTCTCCTAAGCCAGGGGTCCGCCGGCAGGGGATCGGGATCGACTGGTGGATCTTGGAGCCTCTGGCAGGGGATCCCGGCTGCTCTGGCCAAGTCCCATTCCAGGCACGCCCCTTTTCCTGGCACAACCAAACCCGGGCCTGGCTGCGTGTTAGGAGATGGAAGCCGCCTGCCCAGTGTGGCCGTCCTAGCTCTCACCATTGGGGAAGAGTTCTTGTCCCAACGGACTCGCGCCAGACAGACAGGCAGCCGCTCTACAATGTATATACATGGAATAGCTAGGCAAGGTGTTTATACCAGTGCACGCCCCCACCTAGACCCAGTGTTTAAAACCCAATGGAACAAGTTATTTTTCATCCTCATGAAAAAATCCAATAAAACGGGTTCCCAAACGTTTTGACACCGGGGACCAGTAAATCCAGTCACGAGCTTTTGGAGGCCCGGTAACATTTATTTGCATTCAGCAAATGACGACTATGCACATAAATTGTTTCTGGTCCTCCCAAAGCCCCCAGGGGCCAAGTTTAGCCCACAGAAAAGTCAGTCGGGGCCACACAAGTGAGATACAAAAACACAACCCTCCAAACCCTCACACCGCACTAATGTGGCCCCAGCTGTGCTTGTGGGGGCTGCGCCAGCGTTCTGGGGAAGGGTGCCAATGGGTGCTGGGGCAGGGGACAGGGTGCGTGTGGGTGCGGGGGCAGGGTACTTGTGAAGGTTTGGAGGGGAGGGGACAGGGACCGGTACCTGGGGACCCTGTAGCTGCCAAGGCCCAGGAAGTGTGCGGGTTGTTCCCCCGTCCCCCAAACAGCGGCACGGTGCCTAACACACTGGTCCGTTGCACGCCTGATGCCTTCCTGCGCGGGGGCGGGGGAGTCCCAGACTGCGCCAGCCCCAACCGCTCGGGCAGTGCGCGCCTTGCTCCTCCGCTCCCCACGGCAGCATGTGCCGCCCGAGCAGCCGGAGCCTGCACACTCCCGGATCCCCCCCTCCCACGCGCAGGAAAGCAGCAAGGGAACAAAGTCCCCAGCACGTGCTGGACCGGCATTGTAGGTACCGCGTCGGTGGTTGGGGCAGAGGGGAGAGCAGCCCGCGCACCTCCGGGACCTGGCACACAGCTGCAGACCTGGCCCCCGACCCCGCCCTTCTGGGCTCCGTGGTCCCTGGAGGTAGCATCAGCGCGGCGTTCATCTTGGGGGTAGGGGGCAACGAGGCGGGCTCTCTTGCAAACATTTTTCTGAGGCCTGGTATTTTTTTCCCCCGGACTGGTACCAGGCCGCGGACCACAGTTTGGGAAACGCTGCTATAAAACAGAATTGAAACAGGAATTCTACATATTTCAAGTGTACATTTTATGGAACTAACTCAGAGTGATCTTTTCTACTGAGTTTTCAAATCCTATAAATAGAGAATTTTATCTCCTCTGTAGAATTCTATAGGCCAGTTTAAAAAAATTCCAGTCGTTATGCAGTCATACGGGCGCCTAAGAAAGAATAGTAAGAAAAGAGCCATTGGCAGTTACTCTTCTAGTTCACCCTCTTGAGCTCTTCTTTAATAAGTTGTCAAAGTCTCTAACTAATTGAAGCTTAAGTCAAATATTGCTCCTCTAGAATTAAATTTAACGCACTGAAGGATTTATTTGCTTTTAAATCAAAAGACTTCTCACTGAAGCAGGATCAAAAAGAAAATCTAGATTTGTGCTTTTCTGTAGTTTAAAACATGACCCGGCTCTTTAGCCCTGATGGCTCTGTACACAAGGGTCTGCAGGGAGCGGAGCTTTTGCACTGCTGAGATCTGCAAACACGTCTCTTCTTTCCTGAACTTTATTTTTCTCACGCTCTCTGAAAAGACAAGATCAGGTGATATGTGTGGGCCTGGCCCTGTACAGGTGTGGATCAGGTACTGAGCAGTAGGAAAAACATTGCTGTGTGTACTTAAAAAAAAAAAAAAAAAGCCTTTGAATAGGCCAAGTCTAATTCTTGGCAGGGTGACTCAGGCTTAGCTGGCAGACTATGGGAATCAGAGTGTGAGAAAGTCAGTCAAGCGGAGGGGGAAAAAAGGCAAGTCCTTCAGCGATTTTTTTTAAACCAACCCCATGAAATATCCCAGCCAGATCAAGGACCGCAAAGGGACAAGAGCCCAGTATCAAAGCAGAGGGGCAGACCACTCTCCCAAAGTCTGCCTCTGCAGTTGCTGGTTTATGATTTGAAAGGAAACATTCCAAGGCATCGGAAGTAGCAAAGCCGCCAAATGAGCACTAGTTTGGGAGAGACGCTGCAGGAGGAAGACTTGCCTCATTCGCCTGCCTGTCAGGAGAGCAAGTTCCCTGAGCCAGGGGAATGCCAAAGGACCACAGCAGATCACCGCAAAAGCATCCTCCTCTCCCTCTTGACCTCGGCCCATCGAGGCCCAATGCTCCTCTGAGTTATGCGCTGGGGCTCTCGAGCTCATGGGAGTCATGCTCATGTAAGTGGCATTAATGTCCAGGCCTGAAATCACTTCACCGTCCCCCCTACCCAGAGAGGCACTTGCAACAGAAATGAGCGGAGCCCTCCTGGATTCGGCCGCTCACCAACCTTTGCTCAAACTGGGCGGCGTGTAGGGGACCCGTTTGCCACCCGCATCCAAGTTCTCCGCCCCTCCCCTGCATTGTTCGGCAACGACTGAGCCCCAGACAGGCCCAGGCTGCTTGCGGGGCGTGAAGGTTTCCCCCGGCTAGCCCGGGCGCAGCCCCAAGTGCACTCAGACCTCGTGTGAAATGCCACAGAGCTCTGGCTCCCCACCACGCCCCCAGCCAAGCCC